TAGGAGGCCATGGTGAGCTGGTAGGTGAAGTCTCCAGTGTGTTAACATGGTACATAAAATTTCCTCCGCATCCCCAAAAAGCTTCCTCCGGTGGAGACGGTGGAAACATGAAAGCTTCATAAATTTCTTATTCGATTTCTTGCCACAATTAAAATTCAACCATTTTCCTTCTTCTGACGTACTTTTCTTCACTTTTTTTCATCCGTTTCACAGACGTCAACAAAAACGCTGACGAGTCCCTCCTGCATTATTAATGTGGCGCGAAAACAAAGACTTGTGACTGAAGTGCAAAGTTCAGAAATTGTAATTAAAACTATCGGTGGGAGACAATGCCAGCCTGGTTAATAATTTCCAAACGTGTCTACTCCATGCCACCTGTTTTCATTTAGCACTTCTCAACAGCTGTTGCCATAATTATGCTCACTGTCAGTGCAGGGTATGTGAGGGTGCGCTGCAGCCCCGTGCCATGCCGATAAACAAGGTAGTTAAAGGCCACTTATGGCAGCAACAGTTACTCTCCCCGGGGGGATCTGGCATCTGATTCCGAAACACATAACAGGTTGAAGTGAGCAAATGTGGTCGGACGTACAGAAGTGGTTTTTGTCCATCGTGAGCTCAAATCCAGAGGTATCTACTTTGTCATGTGCATCGTTAGTTGCAATCCGGCGAAAGCTGGAGATGTCACCAAGTAAACTTGGCTACTTCGAAACGCTACCGTAACGGCCCACACAGGCTAGTGCTAGGTCAACATTCATATCCGAGTACAGGGGAACCTCGAGATATGAGCGTCTCGACATACAAGTATTTAAATATACGAGCAAACTCCTCGAGATATGAGCGTCTCGACATACATGTATTTAAATATACGAGCAAACCTTCAAGTAAATTTTTGCTTCAAGATACGAGTAAAGATTTGAGATAGGAGCACGCTTACAGTCGCCAACACTAGGTGGCCAAGCACCCGGAGCAGCCCACGCCACTTCACTCGTTCACTTCACGTGTTCGTCGACTTCTGTAGAGAGTGAGTGGTAGGAGTGGCAGTGAGAAGTAAAACGCATGTTGGCCATGGAAATGAAATTGAGAAATATGAGCGTGGTGCCCGCTAAAGAAAGAATACAAATCGACTAAGCAAATAAATACAAAATATAAAATAAAATAAAAAATACGTAAGCTAAGTTAATTCTAAGTTTAGCAGCTCACAGACATGTTGGAGCGTGTCCGTCTCCTCAGACATAGTCTTCGTGATGCGTTCGCATCTTTTTGCCTCACGTGTCCTCACGGGAGCAGACAAAAAAAAAAAAAAAAAAGAAAATCTGTTAGTTTTGTCACAGCTGAGTCACAGTCTGCTGTGTTAGTCGGTGATGAACACGTACAGCGGTTCAAAGTCACTGTTAAGCTGTGACCTTCAGCTGCGTGTGACAGTGCGTCTCCGCTTTAACCGTCATCGTACCTGAAAAAGCCACGATTCCATTTCAGGCTTAGCTGTGTTTAATATTCTCTCCCTTTGTCTGGAAATGTTGCGCAAGGAAACACCGCCAAAAGAAATTTGTGTTACAATACTTATCAAGTGTACACCCCTTTTGCAATTACATCCATGACTGATTTCTTTCAGCCTTTTTAAATTCATTTCCAATGACCTTTAATGTCACCAAATTGGGCCAAGTGCGGAAAGAAGTTTCCAGCCGTGTTAATTGTTTTAGTCAGTGATGTGCGGAGAACTCGGAGTTATGTGTGAATAGAACTAATTGAGATTCATTTGCTCCCCTTCTCACCCGTTCGTCTCCCTCCCCCTCTCTCTCCCCTTCTCACTTTCTGTGTTCTGTTATTCTTACACACATCCAACACACCTTCCTTGTTAGTGCATGACAAGTTAAGTGAGGTAGAAACAAAACAAAAAGGCCAATTAGACGGAGGTAGAGAGATGGGAGACGTTTTCTCCCTGTCCCCTCCGCTCACCCTGATTATGTCTCTGTTTAAACGCCGTCTCTGCCCCCTCCACTTGCCGAGGCAACAGGCGGTAATAGATGGGACCCACATATACCCAATCGCAGTGTTAATTAATAAAAGACTTAATCACATAATGGACTGTCACCGCATGGCTGAGTCAGAGGGACCAGAGAAGAAGAGGACGCAGGCGTCTGTACTGAAGTGGTTATCAGCAGTACACTGGTCCAGTACTGCAATTGATTTGACCAGAAATTATTTAAAATAAACATTTTCTGCTAATTTTTTATACATTTGTAATGAATCCAGTTCCTGTAGGGGAGGTAGAGGGCCCTAACGATAGCCCCCCAGGGGGAAGACATTCTCATTTAATGTAAATTATATTTTTAATCATAGAGTACTGCTTCAAGTCTACCTTTAATCGTTCAAATGTTCTGATGTACCGCAGTGAAGTAATATTTACTTCAAGGCCCGTTAATTAAATGACTTTAATGTGAACAGGAGGTTTTGAAATCTATTCTCGGCTTCGACCTATGATCTTTTACTTCTATTTGTCGGTACTCATGTTGCACCATTCAGTAATTACTGAAGACCTTGGACGGAAGAAAGACAACATTATGTCCACACCCACGCAGGTGTTGTTAGTTAGTCTTTGAGCCTCACCACTGACATTATTTACATTAGAAAAATCCCATGGTGCATCACCAAACAAAAATGTCCCAAAAAGTATATGTAAATTTGAAAAAAATGACCCTATGGTATTAATTTACTCGTTAATACCATTAGTAATTTACTCATAATATACTTATTCAGTTTGAAAACCTAGGCCTGTTTAGTTGAACACAACACTGATGTGCTCACAGGAATTGAATAAATATTAAGACAAACTGTTTGCAACAAGTTATTGGCCCAAACTTTTTGCTTATTGCTGTTCGAAGTTGATCAAATTTTTTTTTTTCGAGCTTGACTTTGATGGAGGAAAGACCTTTGACAAGCCTTTACTGTATTTGAAGTAAAAAAAATACTAATTTGATTATCCACAAATATTGCCCTGTAACCTTATCCTGGTGTTGATCAAAGCTGTTCAACAGTTTTACTGCAGTACTTTCTGTCCCAAGTGCATACATGGGTCTGAATTGAACAATGTGCCGCGTCTTTTTTTTCTCCTTTTCTCCACTACAAAGGTAGTTAAATTCAGCCCTGCCTGAATCCCTATAACAACAAGGCCTGTCAAGCGTCCTGACAAACTCATTCTTAGCTAGCGGCGCTTGCTCCTGTCTGATGGAAATGTTACACTGCTCTCTCTCATTCTCTGCCTCGGCCCCGCTATTCCCTGAGCGCCGCTGTGAGTGGGTGGTTATTCTGTCATCATTTTGGATGAGAGCGTGCTTTTGCGTGCCCACTGTGGCTCCGACACTCGCATTCATGTTTTCGTCCATCGTGTAAAATCTGCAATTGCGAGGCTAAAAGTCGGTTGGCTGTATTTTCATTTGGGTAGATCAATCTTATTTAGCCCTGAGCCTTAAAGCTAGAGGAGAGGAGGTACGTTTTTGTGGCGCAGGTAGAGTTTGCACATGATGTTAACCTGCGTTGTAAAACAAAATGTAAAACAGTTTTGTAAATGCCACAGATGTGACTTCACATCAGAATCACATCAACTTTTACACACAGGTGTATGACTGTTATTTGGACATAAAGAGAAGAGAAAAAAAAGGGGGCAGATAGTAGGGCCATCTGGAGAATCGGGGCCCAGTCAGAAGGTGCTGAAAGGCAGTAGTCATGTGAACGCACCACTGCATCCAAATAACTCTCATCCTGTGAAAAGAAAGAAAGAAACCATTTACTCATATCTTTTCCTCCTTTCCTCAGCTTTACTCATTATCTGAGCAGCTGTGAAGGGCACACACACCTGGCTGCCATCCATCTGCTCCTATGTGCACGTCTGTGTGTACTGATGTGTCTAAAGAGCTCTGTGCCGAGTTTCCAGGGGTTGATTGCGCTCACTGCTTGTATTGTCCGCGTGGACTTGGCTGCCATGGCAATGACTGCACATGTACAGTCAACCGATCTG